AGCGAAAGATGAGAGATCCAACACCGCGGGAACCTAGGAGGGGATACTGCGTATCGATACAACCTGCCCGGTATAAGGAGATACGCCCTGCAGATAGGGATGCTAGGTAAAAATAGGAATTGGTTGGCCCTGTTAGATGTCTGCCCAGTACCGACGGCATATGAAACGTAATCTTCTGCACAAAAGCCGAGATGTCCTGTGGTGGCAGCGGTATATGGAATATGGAAGCTTTCCTCTAGAATCACCCGAAGATGCTTAGGAATTTGCACGCAGTGATCGAACGCGCCGCTTCCTTTCCTCGGGAACGGACTGATGAGAATGACAGGTGCATCCAGAGAGGATCGCAGCTAGCAGCAAGTGCTGCAATCTGAGATCAGAACCTGGAGTCTTGGGCCACGCAAGAGGGATAAGCGATATATTGATTCGTGAGCCGAAGTACGGAAATTTGGCCGGGAATTGAGTGTAGAGGCACCTGCTGCCGAATCAGCAGCTTATTGATCAATATTACCAGGTCTAGGCTAGTAGGTAGGTACCTAGTAGTTTGTAAGACCAAAGCAGGCGATGCACGGCAGCTCAAGAGCCTGGCAGTGCAAAACCCGAAAGGCTCTTGAGGTGTGCTGAGGGCTGAGTGCGACGGCGGCGGAGAGAAGGCACGAGGGTGCCGGAGGCAGAGTGGACGTAAAGCGGAACGGAAAGAAAGCGACGAGGGAGGCGCGATCGAAAGAGCAGGGAGTGGCGGAAGGCAGGGATAGGATAGAGGAAGGAAGAAGGAGCCGGAGCAACAGAAAGAGCAAGAGCAAGAGCGTCTGAGCAAGAATTGAGGTGGTGAGCTCAGGGCAGGAGCGGCTGAGGCAGGAAGCACAGGTGCGCGTCGGAAGAAGCACGAGCAAGAGCAGGAGTAAGGGAGTATGTTAGGCAGGTATGATAGAGCAGGAGACCGGAGGAGAGGGAGGAAGTTCAGCTAAGATGGATTGGGCTGAGCTTTGCCGACCAACAGAAATGGCAAGAGCGACAGTACGATCAGAGAAATAGAAAGAAAAGAAAAAAGGAAGCAATAAAGCAAAGGAGAAAGGAAGGAAAGATCCCGGGAGGTGAGGAGATCAAAGAAAGAAAGAGGATTGTGACGACTGAGTACGGCAGGTCAAGCTTTCGCGCTGGGCTGCACCGGACTTGAACCTGGCAAGCACGCGGATGGATGACAGGGAATGGGAGATGGACGGTCCAGAAAGGCGCCCAGTCATGAATCGCATGCTAAGGCATCGATTGATTGACTGACTGATTGATTGGCATGTCACGGCATTGGCATGGCCCTGGTGCGGAGGAGAGGAGAGGCGGCATGGCATGGCATGGCATGGCATGGGCACTTGCGTCAAGCCATCACCAGTCAGGCCGTCCCGGTTGGCCCTGCATCGCGCTCCAGTCCGGCTCCAACTCGGCTGCCAGACGGGAAATGCATTGGACGGCCAGATCATCGGCAAAAAGGTGGCGGATGGGCGACGGCGCCAGCGGGCAGGTTGGCGAGTTGGCGAGGGAGGCAAGGAGCTGGAGGGCACCACAGCCGCAAACAAGCTGGCATTCTCGCTCGGCGCCCTGACCAACAGCACAGGACTAGGTCGTCAGTTATTCACCTCGCCAGCCATGGATCAGTTGGGTTGCAAATGCGCGGTGCATGCCGAGCCCGTGTTTGCAAAAAGGCCTTGGACGACGAATACGGCCCTTTGCATGCATCACTTTTTGGGCGCGGGGCGCAGAAATACACCGCCTGTGGACCTCCATCACTCATGCCAGCCAGCCAGCCATGATGAGGATGATGATGGCAACAAAAAGCGACCGGAAGCCAAAAACCCCAGCTCGGCTGCGGGCTGGGAAAGCCTTGAAACCATCTAGCCCGACGCAAGCGTGGAAAGGCAACTTGGGCTTCTCACCTGATAAGCTGCATGTTATGCCTAACGCCCAGCCCGTGGAGCCAGCCAACCTTCCAACTTTCGGACAATCAGACTTGTGTGCAGTATCCTCGGCGTCTTCACTCTTTCAGAGTTCCCAGGTCCCTTGATGAACGGTATTACCTCGTACCCAGCCGGCTCCCCTGCAGCCACCAAGTCTACGCGTCACAGAAACAAGCACAGGAAGCCAAGAAAAGGCTCATGAAATCCCATTCACTCATGTGCGTGGTCGTCACATGCGTCGTCTCTGCCCGAGAGGGCCTGTGGGAAATGAAATGGCGCCAGCCAGAGTAAGGGAACCGGCGATCAATCAGCTCGAAACAATCAGAAAACCCCGTCAGCTACGGACCTCGTGATTGGGTTTCCAATATTGCGTGTGTCGCACCGTGCTCACGCCTCTTGCTCCTGTGTGGCAGCCAGTCGGGTTCAAGCTCAGACCAAGTCGGCGCCTTTTTTCCCGCGGTGAGACGAGGTGTCAAAGCTCGTTAGAATTGGCCATATATGACGGATCAGTTCTTCCTCTTCCTTTCTCGCTCTGCAACGCAACATACTAACACGCAACAAAAGCGCAGTCCATCAGACGAGCGCTATGACGATGACGGGGCATTTCGGAGCCACACATCGGGTCAGCGCCGGACGACCTGTCCGACCCTCCGGAGACCTTCCCGATCCGGTCGTGTTGCAAGCATCTACACTGCTATGACAGGGTACTTACAATATATATCACACTGCCTACATACTATATCAATACTTCATCTGGCCTTTACGCACCGGGTCATACTTGAAGCTCCCTTTGCTGGCTGCCCTCGCTTTTCAAAAAGGCCTGCAGGAGGCCTTATTTTCCTTTTCCAAGCATTCATCCGCACTACTGTCGATGCAGCCACTGGGGGTGGCTCCATCATGGCCGTGAGGGGTAAGACGGGCGAAGTAAGGATGATGCTTCGTATGGACCTGGAGGGGGCTACACTATGCTCTGTGGCGAGACACCTTGGTTATTCGAAATTCAGCCCCTCGCTGGTCAGGTTCAATTCGAAATCAAGCCCCTCGCTGGCCAAGATGGGTCCGGCACTACTTTTGCCAAAGCACTGGAATCGATTCTCGAACCATTACGCGACACGGGGGAGGTTTGGATCGAGCACCGAAAACGCCGTTTTCGGCTCTCAGTTCTCGCTGCAAACTAACACACGCACGACTCGTTCAGAGCCCGAACGTCATTCCTCGGGCTGCTTTACTATCGTCGTCTCCTCAAGCAAGGGAACATCAGCCGCATGCCTGAATACGCCGGAGCTCAGCACAACAGCCATGACGAGCCAATTATCCCACATCGCCGCCTACATGAATGGCTCATCGACCTCGATAATTTCCCTCTCATGCGGCCAGCCGTCTGACCTGTCGCCCGCTTCATCTGGCGCCCGTCTTCGCACTTCGCTTGGTTCTGCTTTCTCGAGTCCGTGATGGTGTGTCTCAGCTTTTCCCACCTAAGCCCGCGGAGCATATGCTGCTTCCACTGCGGAGTGCAACCTGTACTACAGACGACCTACATGGGAAGCATGGTAGGGACAGATAACGAGGATGATTCCGGCGTGTTGATCGACTTCCCAATTTTTCCATCTCGTCCGTGACACTTCTTGCCTAGCCCTGTCTTCGCCCAACCCGGCAACTGGAAACCTGAATCACAAGTTCCCCGCCACCGCAAATGGTGTCAAATCCAAGCGGCTGCTGCGGTAATATAAGATTTCACCTTCACTTCATCCCGTTATTTTTCGCCTTTTATTTTGTTTTTAACTCTCCTCCAACCCTTGCAGCAAGATTGACCACACATTGACATCACCGATGCCAGCAGCCACCTTGTCCAGAAAACACTCGAAGCGGAACCTCCGTCTTGGCTGCCTTTATCTACTATCTAGGTTGCGCAGGAATGCTCGGCTTATTATATTTGACTTTTGGATGCTGCCCGACGTTGTCATGCCCCTTCGGATGATATCCAGCAGGCTGCTGGGGTATGACTGTCGAATCACCGTCGAATACTAGTGGATGCCTGTTCCCTTTGCAACAATTTCGTGCTACCTACGGAGCTACATAATTTGCCCATCGACAACGCCTCTGCCTTGCCGTGACAATATGATGTTTGGCGCAACGTTTCTTTTCTGCTACTTATTAAACCGGTTCAGTCTACTGCCTGTCATATTGGGTGCAAACTTTAAGGGGCTAGTTCGAAATATTTCCCTGTTCACTGAACCTGCTCGATGGGCTGCAAAAGGCACGATTGTGCACATTTGCTTGGACTTGGTTTGACATTGGGCGCCGCCTGACTTCTTTGATTCGGAGAGTCTCGTCCGTACTAGGCGCTTTCTTCTCAGTCCACTACCTCCAAGACAGTTCAATCCTCAGACTGGTCTTTGCATCCGCCATCCTCGTATCAATTCGTATAAGGATAGCATGGCCGAGTATACCGATGATGCCGGCCTTGTAATCCAGGCCTTGGAAGGTTTGCCGCTGTGGATAAGTCATCGAATGGAGACGTATGTACACGGGCGCATCTATCTCCAACCGAAGCGCCGAGACCATGATGCGACGAGAAAAAAAGAAAAGAGGAAAAGAAAACCAACCAAATCCCGCCGCCACCCATAATGTCGCAGCAGGATACTGCAGCTAGTCTCAGTCCCTCCCTTTAAATCGACGGATCTGGAGCCTCTCTCTTGGGCTTGATTTGCGGGCACAAATCGTTTGTTTCCGTATGCACTCCGATGACAAGCAGACACGTCAGACCCGCGGTGTGATTTCCTCCTCAAGGTGCTGCTTTTACACTCCTGTTTGAAACAGGTTGCAGCGATCATGACGACGGTGATGATCGTGATGACACCGGCGGCTGCATTTCCCAACAGCTCTATGAAATGTGCACGAGAGAGAGAGAGAGAGAGGGGGGGGGGGGGGGGGGGGGGGGGAGAGAGAGAGACTTCTCCCTCACCGACTTTGCGGCAGCAACCTTGGTCTTGACAGCGCAGCGTTGCATTCTGCTTTTTCCTTCAAGTCGAGGCAGACAGAGCTCAAGCAATCTCACTTCTTGATGAGCCGGTATTTCCCCCCCACGAGTTCCAGCTCGCCCTCTGCGATTTTCTCGCCGAGGAACTCCTGTAAATCCTCATTGCTCCAGGGATATCCATCGGGGATGAGCATCTTCAGCATCATGGCAATCTGCCCAAGGGGCATCGCCGGGCTCGAATTCGTCAGCATGCCGACGATGAATTGCCAGTACATGGCCCTCTGCTCTCTTTCCTTTGCACCAATGTTCTTGGGCTTCTTCGGCGACGGCTGGTCGTTTGCGTCGTCGCCGCCCGTTGCGACTTGGTCCTCCATCACGTCCTTGTCGCCCACGTCGCTGTCGAGCGTCTCCAGCACCACGTACGTCTTGTTTCCGACGTCGCGCAAGACTCGCTGGGCTACCCAGAACTTGAGGGCGCTCTCCAAGAGATCCTCGTCCATCATGAGCTTCTCCCATAGTTCGTTGAAGCTTCGTTGCACGGGGCCCGATGTCCCTGATCCATCACTGTCATCGTGAAATTCGTAAATGACTGCCGCCTCATACGTCTTGCATTCAAGGTCGATGGAGCGGTCGTCAAGCTCGAGCTTGACCGTTGCCGATCCCAGATGATCCAGCCAATTGAGCTTCCGTGATGATTTGAGCTGCTCAAATCCAGCCTCGTACTTCTTCTGAACTTGAGCAACGGGTAAAGGCACGGCGAAGGGGTCTTTAGGCAGACTGGGCCAGAATAGCCGTGACAGGATCTTGGAATGATATGAGAGCGAGTTTGGCTCCAATGAGCCATCGCTCTTCAAGTTCCGACGAAGGACAGTGTCCACGCGCTTGGAGTCCACAATGTCTCGTATCATTACATCGCAATTCTGAAGAGCAGCTTCTCCAAAGCGCTTCTTGAGCAGGCCAAGGACCTTAATCTCCTGCTGGAAGCTGGTTTGCTTGGAGAGCAGCCGTTCCGCGACGATGGACTGGAACTCCTTGATGAAGACGTCTTGTAAGCCAAGAGCACTGATCAGCGTGCCTATGATGTCCTCATTCTTGGGCCGCTTGTAGTTGACGCCTGCATCCACGGGATCCGGAACCCAACTCATGTCGTTCCAGCCGAGATCCTCATCGTCGACGCGACCTTGGTGCTGCTGCGACGTTTCGTTTAGAATGACTGCAAGCTCCACCAGTTTCCCGTCGTTCTCCTCGGCATTTGCAGTGTTTGGATTGGCCAATAGTCCTGTAACGACAATGCCAATGGCATCGTCTCTGTTCCACAAACATAGCTTCAGCGCAGGCACGACTCTGTCGAGTAGGACTTTGGAGTGGTCCAGCGCGTGGAATGTTCGAATCATGGATATGTAGGTCTGCAGAATGTCCAGCGTGGAGCGGCCGGGGTGTAGCAGCCTCGCCTGGAGGGTGGCCGAGAAGGCGTCCGTGAGCTGAAGGCGGCGCTGGGGCGTAGTCACAGAGGACGCCAAGTCGTCGAGACCTCCCTTGCTGTCGGGCCAGTGTAGGACGATATCAAAGAGCTCGTGCATCCGCAGCGTCGCGAGCCGCCCAGTGGCCACCTCCCTCCACCGCTCAACATCGTTCCAGGCCACTTGGCCGCCAAGACGACTGAGCACCTCCACTGCCAAACGGCCGTAGCGGTTCTCAATCCAGTTACACAAGTGATTCAGACAGAGAGGCCCCGTCACCGCACGAGATCTGCGTCGGCCATCAGGCACCTTCCATACTCTGCTATAGGATTCCTTGATGAAGTCTTGCATACAGGCATCCATCATCTCAGCAAACAGGACTTGAAACTTGTCGCCACCTAGTCCTACCTGATGCAAGGATTCAAGGAGGCCGAGAAGTTCGCCCCGTGCCTTGGAAACGTCGGCTTCTCGGCTCCAACCCGGCCCCAGGCCACTGTCGCGACTATTCGAGCCCAGTATGATGCGCAGACTATGGTGCAAGACGTTGCGGAGGACGGCTATTAACTCCGGGGTCCATGAGTTACCAACAATGGCGTGTATGTCTCGTCTGAACTTGGCCATGGCCGCTTCTGCTGACGTGTCATCGCGGAAGCCTCGAACAATGAGCATCAGCCCGTACAGATACTGTCTGTGGGCAGCCTCCAGGGTGCCAATGATGCTCAGGAGAACCTGCGAGTGGCCCCGTTGATGGCTGGAGGTGCATGCGGCGAGCAAAGGGAGCACCTGGTGGAGGAAGTGCTGACGGACCTGTCGAGAATGCCACAGCAGTATGTCCTCCGTATGAGCGGCCTGCGGGGCGAGAGCAGCAGGATCCAGGACCAGGGCCAGAGAGTCGTAGAAAGTTACATCGAGATCCTGCGACTCGGGGACCAGAGCACCAAAGGAATCCTCAACGGCCACGGAGGTGGGCAGCTGGATGCGCGAAGTGACTACGTGCCAGGCACGGTCCCACCGCGCCTGATCGCTCAAACCGGTCGACGAAGACTGCTGCGTCGACTGGTTGCCACGCGTCCGCCGGCCAGTTGCAGACGCAAAGCCGTGGGCACCGCCAGCGCTGTGAGTGGCAGCGTGTCTCCTGGGACGTGACGATGATGACGATGCTGATGACGATGCCGATGGCAAAGGCGCGCCCTGGCTCCGGATTGGCTCGCCGGCCTCGGCGAAGGCAGACGCCAGAGGAGCCGGCTGCGAGGCATCGGGAGGGAAGACAGAGCGAAAGACGTTTTGCTTGCGGGTGCGGACCCTGGCGGCCGTGGTGGTGATGGCCATTGTTGTTGTTGCATGGGCACCGTCAGCCCGCAACCGACACTGTCTGCCTTCACGTGCTCTTTGCTGGCCGTTGACTCCTGGGATGCAGAAAGCGGTGCCTGGAATGTGCAGGTAGACTCAGCAGACGAGGCTCAGGTTGCCGCAATCGCCCTGCAATCCATTGCCCTGCCGGGAGCACCCGGTATTATGCTGGCTGGTACTTTGCAGCAGGCTGTAAGTGGTAGCCCTTTGTCCGAGGCCGAGGCGAGGCTGTCCTGTCGCGGTTCGTCTGACCTAGGGTTAGTAAGTAGCTGATGGTCGTAGATGGGCGAGTGGGGTGGATGAAGCAGAAGAGAGGAAGAGAAGAAGAAGCCCGTGCTAGAAACAAGCGGCGCCTTGCTGGGAGGGTGAATGGAGGCTTGTGATTGGCTGAGCGACTTCAAGGTGCCTTTCCCGACCCAACTAAGCACTCAGTACTTGAGTAAGTGTACAGCAGCGTACGACAGCTCAAGTACCTCTACGCAGCGCCTCGCCTGGATACAGCTACCGAAGGCATTCACGAAGACGGAGCTCCGGGCAAGCGATCCAGGTACTCTAGAGGCATCACAGTACCTACACAGTAATCAATGGCAGAATTTGGCAATACCTACCGTACGTAAGGTATGTTGCAGATAAGTCGTCAATGCTGATTACACGACATACACATGCATCAAGAGCAACAGGCAAAACAGGATCAGGCCATGTTTGTGCTCTTGCACGTCGACGCTGCTTGGAGGGGCTCTTCGTGAGACATCGAGCAGCAGAAGGGGGGGGAACCTCAGGCAGGCCAAGCGGCTCAGGCCCCCGTCGCTCGCTGCAGTAAGCGACATGCAGCGCTTAAGTGCGCTAAGCGACGCGCCCCTTAGGCGCAACCTTTCCCACTGATCCATCAGGTTGTTGGAAAGGAGTTGAGATAATGTTACAGGCTGGTACTCGTGCTTGATTGAGCACACCCCTTCGAGGAGGGAGCAGACGGGGGAAAGAGGGGAACCCGACTGACGCCTGGAAGCTACCTAGGTAGCCACCCGAGTTGGTGCATTTGCTGCCATGTCGATGGGAGCCCGTGTCACCAATGGGGGGAAGAGAAACAGGGAGAGACGAGAGATGAAGGCGGTATGGGATAGAGGGTGTAGTACTCAAGCTGAGACAGACAAGACAGAATAAGGGGGAGAAATCTCGACGCCGAGGACAGAAGAGAGGACAAAAATAGGTAGTAGCGAATGCAGACAAGAAAACTGCAGCATCGAGTCCGTACAGAGCACGAAGCTCACTGCCACCATCAAATATCACTAGCACGCGTGCTAGCGAACGCAGCCCCTACCTACCTTAGCATGTACGAGTATGTGCTCGTACAGTAGCAGCACAGGCACCAATCCGTAATCGAGTGTCCTTGCATGACGATTGTCCTGTACGGCAACGACCTGGTATTTCGCGAGCATCCTTGCCCGTCCGTCGATTGACCCACCTGGCTTTATCTCTGGCCATGATGGTCGTGCGTGCTCTGACCCGCGGAAAACACATCGCTTGCCTGTATGTGCCCCGGCTAGTGCCACTATATATCCGAGAAGAGGAGATGGCTGGTCGGCTTATACTAGGTGTATAGGTAATTGAGTAGTAGTGCCATCCAGTACGCAGCAAACATTGAACACAAGACTTTCATCCAGTGATGAAGGGGGGAGGTGAGGGACAGAGAGATACGCCTACGTATGGTTAGAAGGCGTCGGGTCGGGGCCAAATATAGACCTCGAACTGAGTATTACACTCAATATGCATACAGTTCTCTAGTCTGGGAAGAGTTGGGCGAAACTACCCATCAAAGGGTGTGAGAGCACGGCAAGTTGCTTACCTTGTTCCATCAAGGAGAAGCGGCAAAACACAAAAGGAGATGGAATAACCAAGGCCTCTTGGTACACCACTGCGTTGCTACTATTTCCAGCATCAGCCTACCCCCTTCCATGGGCATGCTCTGGCAGCGCTCTCGTCCGTTTTTCGAAAGTACAAAGGACGGAGTACCGATGCGAGAAATGCGAGGAAAGCTCGCCGATCTGCCCACGCTAGGATAGCAGCATACCTGGCAGTAGAGCTTCGTACTCGCACACAGGGTAATGCTTGTAATACAGCCACTTTGCACACGCCGGGATGCCAACCTGATACCATCCGATTTTCGGAACAGTTTCGGCAGACGATCGGCCGGAGACAAGAGGTCACTCGGGGCCGGGGACCGCCCAACACCCAGGGCTGCAGCTCTCTGGTAACAGGCTGGAGACCTCCTCTCCAAGAAGACACACATACCCCGTGCAAGCGGCACAGCGGGCACTGAACCTGTCCAAAAGTGCCTCCGAAGCCCATGGCGGCTGTTGTGTAGCGGTGGCCAACAAGGATAGGCCCGGGTCAGGGTTTGATTGTGCCGTCCCGTGTGAAGGTACGAAGCACAGTACACCGTACGTCCTGGCGACCTAGTAGTATAGTACTCGTAGTACAGGCATGCCTCAGGAGGCTGGTACCTGGTGCACGCACGAGTATTCAGTGACAGTCCCTCTCTCACGGCTCGCGGCTCGTGGCTCGTGGTTCGCGCTCCAGTCCGAAGCCACCAACGGCTGCCCCAGTCGCGCGACAAGGCCAGCGACAGCCGTGGTGCCTGATTGCTCATCCCCCGGCTTGGTCGACCAGGGAGTTGTAGGGGGGGGTCGAGCCCACCAGGTCGAGTGACCCAAAGGTCCAATATCCCAGGAGAGAGCTCGAGCCCTGGGACGCTAGGCAAGCTAAATGTTGCGTTTAGATGCCTGTCGCTGCTGGCCTTGATTGCGGGACCAGTGGCGTTCCCGTCAGCACTCTCATCTGGCATTCGCTCCTCGCGCCTTTTGTCTTCCGCGACGCGACGTGGGGAGCAAAAGTGATAGCGAGCTGCTGATGGTGCCACTTTGTAGTAGTATGCTCCAGAGCATCTGTGTCCCGAAGCCCCTTGTCGAGCTCAACAATGACAAATTGTGTCGACACCGCGCTCTGCACGGGATGGCTATTCCAGGTTGTCTCTTGATTATTGGCCAGGTCTAGCGTGCAAGCACCGATGCTCGTAAGCCACCAGACACGTCCGCTTGCAATGCCTTGGCCCGCCCTAAAAAACTCGTCAACGGCCCCCAAATTGCTCGGGAAGCCCTTATGTAGGTCCTATCTGTACGAACAAAGGGAGGGGCGAGCTTGAACAAGGCACGCAGTACAGGCCTCGTACTCGTCGGCGCGGCTGGTCTGGTCCTAATGGTTGCTGGGTCGTTAGAGCATTCTCGTAGCATGATGCCCGACTAGATGTGCGGGATGCCTTTGTCAAAAAGGTGGAGGGGGAGGTGAGGAGAGGGGGAGGGGGGGCTCTTGAGGGTGGGGGTATAATGCACGGGGTAAGAGAAGGAAACAAGAACAGGGAACAAGGCAATCTGGCTGTCTTCGCATTCGCAAGCAGCAGCCACGGGTGTGGTCAATCAAGGGCTAGCCAGGACTCGTAGGGGTGACGCCCCGGGTCGCCATCATCTCTCCCATTCGGGCTTGCCTCGTAACCGACCGGCCATCGTCGCCTTTCCTCTTCATCGTCTCGGCACATCTGACGCAGGGCCTAGTAGTAGTTGTATGCCATCGAAGCAGGCACCCTTGCTCTGCGCTGGTTGGTCGGTTCAGAGGGGGGAAGACCAGCGATTTGGAATGGGATGTGGATCAGCCAGGGCCGTCCATCGGCCCCCCATCCCGTCTGCTGCGCTGCTGGTACTCGTACTGGCGCCGATTCTGCACCTACAGCACAAGGTGAGGGATTGTTGTGCGGAGGTGAGAGGGTTGTCTGGTTTGGCAGCAGGGCGGCACGCCTGCTCCCGACGCCTCACCTGAGGGAGGTGATCTTGCATGTCCTTCTTATGGCGATTCTGCACTTGGTGCTGGACGGGACAAGCACGATGCAGACCCTGTGCGCTGTGCGTTGATGAAGAGAAAGTGCCTGCAAGAGGACGCACTCACAACGACGGACTTGGTGGAAAGGCAAACGAGCAGGGGGGCCATTTGCGTTGTGGAGCCCTACAGGGCTGTCATTCACTTTCTCGTAGGCGGGGCCTCATGCTCCTACAGCGATATGCAACCGCATATCTGCATATTCAGCCCCCCGGGGGCGTGGCTCTTCATCAAGAGCACATGCTCGTCCCACCGCCAGTACGAATGTACGATATTGTGTGTCCCCCGAGGCGACAGGGATCAAATGCTCTCTCTGCTCGCTCTTGGGGACCTCCTAGTCTTCTCGGGCACCTGCCGCTCGACACCCCTCCCTGGTCCCCATCTGCTCTGCTTTCCACACCAGGGAGACCGTCTTCCCCCCCCCCCAACGACCGGCCGTCTCTGACGTTTGTTGCAAAGCGCGAGCAAAACCCAGCACTCGAAGCTGTCCCGCTGTCAACGCCCTACGCCCGAGTTTACTGTCATTTCCATAGACTCGAATACTATAGACCGAGCAAGCTTTCGACCCCTTTCTCCTATTCTCAAGGGATCCGTTCAGAGAAATACATAGTATCGTTGGCACGGCGACTTATGTTGTCATCTCCTCCTAGCTCATCCCGATCTCTCATCGACTACTTCCGCCCCTTTGCACATCACCAGCAAATGAAAACACACAGACGCACCATGTCAACCTCTAACATGCCGCCTCAGACAAATCAGCCACTCCGGGACAAAAGCCAACCATCCATACGGACAGGTACCAAGCTTCTCCCACTTGCCTCTTCTCCCGGTTTTTTCAGCCCCCGAATCCGCAGGGTTCTGCCGCCCTTTTTTTTTCTTCTCTCACCCTGTGACGAATGCACGTCACGCACCGAATAGCTACCTAGTACTGTAGCTAGGTCGTTTCATCTCATGCCGCCCGTAATGAGGAAATGCAGCGCACTGTCAGACACTGACTGCGCTGTGAGGCAACCTAGCTTCCTCTATCTCTCTTCCGTGCCGGCAGGCAAGGGCCAGGTTCGACCAGAACGTGTGCCGGCAGAACGTGCCTCGACCTTGAGCTGGTCTGGGCTGACCTGCCAAGTTTGAGTAGGTCATGGTATCATGGATGATCAATTGCCGTGCTCCAGGCTGGGTTGCTGGCTTCGAATCGGTCGTTCCCAATCCCGATCTCACCAAAGCCAGCCATATTCGGCAGCATACCTACCTGCTCTGTACATAAGTCTCTCCCTCCATCCGGAAGCACGGGCTTTCTCACAATGCATATGACTTCACAGCGACTTCTAGAAAAGCAAATCCGTCTTCTATTCCTCCTTGCCTGGTGCAACCTCAACCCACCTGCTGCTGGATGGATAGGTAGGTACCCTTCTTAGGTATACTCGTCGCACCTCAAAGCTGCTATTTACAACGAGGCTGTGCCACCTCGCGACCTGTAGCACCTCCGCTTCCCTCTCCAGCTCTCGGAATCTGCCCTGTGGGCGCTCTTTTGCTCTAGCCTGCCAGCCGGCCGTCGATCACTGACCTGGCCCTATCTTTACTTGGGTATAAACGTGCCGCTGACGACCCAAGGATTTCTCTCGGAGAAAGTGGGAACATCTGATAGAACCCTCGCCCACGCCTCTTTCCCCTCTGCCGCCCCCGGTCCTTGGACCCCCCTTGTCATCAGTTCTTTGATCTCTCGTCCTCGCTCTTAGGCGGGAGACTTCTTTGCGAGCAAGCAAGCTGGCGCTAAGCCCTCAGATACAAGGGTAAACATCCCCCCCCGTCTGCAAAATGCACAGACGCCCACCTGGTAGGTACGCCCACCTACGCCCACCTGGTACCTGTTCTGCTCAGCATTCTGCAGGCTGGAGATGAAGTACCTCCCGCCTGCCCACCTCAGCCCGCCCTGCGGGTCCACGATGTGCTCGTACGAGTACCTTATTGAAGTTGATAACCTTGAACTTTGAGCTCTGCACCCTGCAAGGTTTGCTGGTCAAGGGCCAAGGTGCGGTAACAAAGGGATGAAGTTGATACTTACCCCCGGAATGGAGACCGCAATCCGATTCCGAAATGCATCTTATCGGACTTAACGACGTGGCTGCGCGAGACCCAACTTTTATAATGAGCACATCTTGAGGAGGACCAACTTGACAGCAAGCGCTTAGAAAGCCGCGCTCCTGCGTACCTAGATTGATGAATGATCCTAAAAGTCTTCTGATTCTCGATGGCGAGACTGGCGTCTCCTCTCCAGGGGCAAGACAAGGACCTAAAAGTATACTTACCGCTTCACTGAGCGTCACCCCTTTCAGGCTCGACAATAGTCCACCCATGTAACACAAGAGAATCTCAAGGCATAGAATGATTAGGTGAAAAAAAGAGTAGCAAATTGAACAATTACTATACTAGTATCTAGACTGCTTCTGGTGAACCCCCAGTCACTGACCTATCCAAGTAATCCCTCTGCAACGTTGCGAACTGTTCCATCCCGTCGTCTATGCATCTCTAATAGTCGTTTGTGTACTCTAAAAAATCGATCAATCGGGTCCGTCCCTCTTGCACCCTGGTATCACTGTCCCAAGGTTTGCCCAACGCTTTGCCCGTAATTCATAATCCATCCAATCCAAAAACACCCAGGTTATACCAACGACATAAATGTGAAAAGGGAATATATCACCATAGTATACAAAAGCCAACCCCTGAAGTAAAATAAATCAAAAGAAAGAGAGGCGTAGACGGACAAGAAGTAGACGATGCCTCGCCACCTTGTGACACGTCCAAGATCGCAATCGAGACTCCCCCATCACCAAACGATATGTCCGCGAATCATCGCTATGACACCAGAAATCCCACTGACGAGCTTATTACAGCCAAGTGAGAATTCGCAATACGGGCGGCGATCATGTGTCTCCTCCCTCCTCGTAGGTGAAAGCGAATGAGTCGCAGCCTCAACGCGAGACCTTCAAGAACGCCCGGCTCAGGTGTTCCTGCGTTGCTTGCACTTGTCGTGCATAAGGTGACCGTTGCGTGCCGTTGTTCTGGTGAATTCTGCGCCACAGTTGGGGCAGGTGGCCTTGGCTGCCTGGCCGGATTTCTCTCGCTGGTGCCTGAGGAGGTTGCTAAAAGTCGAAAATTGCCGTCCGTTGCAACCATGCTCCCAGCATCGTGGCTTTGGCCGGTTCTGAACCACACGAACATGGCCAGTGCTATCTGGGCTGCCAGTGCCAGTGCTTGTGGCGGAGGATGCTGGGCCGTTTGAATGCATGGCGGACATGCGGTACACCATACCGCTGTCTTGTCCAGGGATGGGAGCGTGAGGGATGCTGTACCTTGTGAGTATTGTGGACTCGCACGCGACCGGAATCACCGACATGGGAAACGTACCTGTATGCACCGGCAGTAGCGTAGGTTGGCTGGTAGTCCATCGACATAGAGTAGTTTGAAGGCCTGTACAAATGCCAACCATAAGTTACCGTTTCACACGAAATAGAAGGGATGGGCGCATCATTACTCACATCTGCTGCTGATATTGAGTACTGAATGCTGGCTCTGACATATGGGGGCTATACGGGGGAAGGTACTGCGGCTCGCTGAGTGCCGGAGCAGGCTCGCTGAGGAGAGAGATGGTGGTCGGCGCAGCTGTCGCGTAGACGGGGAGGGCCATGGTGCTTGTAATCGCGGACAGAGATGCTTGCATGAACGGGTGGTCATTGGCGTCGTTGGCTCGTTGTACTCGTGAATGGACTTTGGAGTCACGGCGAACTTTCTCACGTTGCTTCTTGAGAACTCGGTGCTCGGCGGTAAGCACGCTCTTGGGAGCGCTTGCGTGGAGCGTCCTCGGGACGCTCTGAGGGGAAACACTAGGTTCCGATACAGGGTGGAGGATCGATGCGAAGTCAGGCCCTACCATGGTGGTTGGTGTGTTGACGGATTCGAACATGTCTTGGTGAGTAGAGTCTATCACAGTACGTCAGTATGGCCTCAAGCTCCAAGCCAAGCAAAGGGGCCTACGTACGTGGCCAAAGTGGTGACCTCGACCTGATGGCGCTCATCTCGTATGGGATGGCAACGGCACTAAAACAGCTTGGTAAGGCGTTGTCTCAACGGCGTGCTGAAGTGCAGCGTGCTAACCTCATGCTGGTAGAAGAGGAAGAAGCTGTATCTTCGGGATCAGATGCCTCTCTTTGGGGGGGCAACTTGGAACTCTTATATCGGGAAGGTCGTCAGGTAGTTGGAGGGAGGTATGAAGAAGTAGAGGCCGAGCTGAGAATTGGCCTGGTTATATAGCGTCTCGAGTTCAAGTGAGACAGAGTAAGGCTGAAGCAGCTTCCGTGCCTCTGCATAAGCAGCAGGCTGTGGTGGCGTGGGCTGTAACGCAGATTCGGGGGGTGGGGAGCACGAGAGTATGATGACTCCCGCTAATTGTCAGAATTGGAGAAGGCTCTGAAAGCCGGCGTTCTGTTGAGCTGCGAATCTTGTTGCAAGTGCTCCGGTCAAGGGGCGGACGCTCGATAAGGAGAAGGGAGTTGTCAGGGACGCTGGCAGCTAACAAGGGCAAAGATCGAAGAAGCGGCAGTGACAGCCCTGGAAATGGGGCCCCGAAGGAATATGACGGTCGAGGGAGACTCAGGAGTCAGTTGCAGCGCCGAGGAGCTGGAGTGGAAACGACCAGGTGAAAGAAAGAGATAGAAGGCCGGGGCCGAGCAAGCTGGTGTTTCTGAAACGGCAGCCTTGGTATACAGCGTCCCGTCTGTTCACACAAACTGACTGTACTGTATATGGTTGGGAGAAAGTCGAAGGTTTTCCTCGAGGAAGTCTATATCTGAAAGATTGTTCTGAGGTTCGTCTGATGGATGATGGTTCCAGCAAGGACCGGACGGCGACTTATAAGAACAAAGCGCCATGGCAGAAGAGGTGGAGATGCCTGTACGAGTACTGTCGAGCTCGCAAAGGTGCATGACGAAGAAGGGGAGAGGGGCGTGTGGCCTGGCAGCCCATCTAGACAGATGAGATTGAGGGCTCTCCATGGCTGAGCGAGCGGACTAGCTCCAAAGGCGTGTTGCTTGCCAGGGTTGTCGAGAACCACGCAAGGTACGAGTGTATACAGAGCAGCTGTCTGGCGAGGGGGGGTGAGAGGCAGGAGAGGCGTGCAGGCAGACAAGCCCTGGCATTGGGGGGTGTGCGGAGGCTGTGGACATCATCCCGGCGCCATGCCTTGCAGGGTCTTGGGATTTGTGTGTGGACGAGCTTGGACCAGGACCAGCATGAGGGGAGTTGGCCGTCCTCGTAGGGCACGATGCGCGGTATGCGATATGCAATAATCGGGACGCAATGGGGGTGTCGAGGCAAGCGGGATGAGCTCACCTACACGAGTACAAGCACCTATGAGAGGTAGGTACCTATGGAAACCGGAGCTCCATGATGTTATTTGTTCCCTGGGCTGATAGCCGGTGAAGAAGCTCACTGGGCTTTCATGGCAGTGTTGTAAAGGTATCTCATGCCATCCTGCCAAGTTGGCATCTGATTTTGGATAGGAAATAGCGAGAGAGAGGTATCTGATCAATGGCATCATGACGGCACACTTCGACAATGAGGCTTACTAGGTACCTACTAAGGCAGACAACACAGCGCAACACAGTGTAGCTGCTGCGCTCAAGCGACTTCGTAAGGCGCTTCTACCTTGCTGGCCCAGGCATATGAAGCACACTTTATTCGATTTGTTGGACGAGAAGTGTCTGTCCGAGTATTCATACCTACCTACTAGTAGGTAGGCACGATTTGGTACTATTGCGTGGGCTGCACTTCTTGCATGAGCTGCAGATTCTGCATATTGCCAAAGCCTCATTCTTTCTCTCAAAAAAGCTCGAGCTTGTAAGTGCATACTGTCTAGTTGCATGCTCCACACACCCGACGTCAAGGGGGCTTGGAGTGCCTACCCTGCAAGTTGCATGCAAGCTTGAGCGCAAGCGTCAGTCTTCGGGACGGCGAGGCGTCCATGTACGCGAGGCCAAGAGGGGCGTGCGAATAGGAGAGCCTTGTTCGCTGGGACCGGCGTGGGGTCAAGCTCATCTGCATCCCATTCTGCACGCTGTGGTTGAAGAAGAGAATTGGGTGTGTGGATGCTGACGGGCGGCTTGGCGGCGCCGTTGTGGCATCTTCAAGGCTAGGCTCACAAGGCCTGCCCTACCAGATGCCTTCATGGTACCTGATTGGAACCAGCCCACGGTGCTTGTGCCAGCATAAGCGCCTTCGAATGAGGATTGAAGCCAGATGGAGGTAGTTGGGCGGTCGTCTCGTGTCTGGCCCTTTTCTCGGGGGGCCGTCCTCGCGCGGTATTGCCCTTTGACAAACGCTGGGAGCAAAGGTGATATGCCATGACTCTGCTGATAATGCTGCTTGTGAGATGCGACTCGTCTTCGTCGGCCGACGCGGATAAGCATCTATCTCCCTATAATCCACAAAAAAGGGCCACAAAGTGGGCGATACGCAACTGCAGGCGCAGGCATTGAGCCGTGGGCACGGAGTTGGGTTGAAGTTGGGGTTGAGGGGAATGGGAATGGCATGGGCAGGCAAGCAACCCAGATGCACGGGAGCCGTGGGTGAGTCGCAATGTGGTAGTACATAAGGTAGACTAAGGTAGTACTTGTTGCGGTGCCATGCTTCGCACCGAAGCTCAAGTAATACCTGCGTACCTACAAGAAGCACTCGCGCCCATACTCCGGATGTACATGTTCAAGCCAAGAGGATCCTGGTCGCCATCTTGTCCGTCTGCTGCATGAGCGATAGGCCCAACTCGAGCTGGGCGGAGCCGAGGGCATTCATGGGGTCCGAGGAGCCACCTACAGTGCATAAGGTAGACGGCAGTGATGGCGATAGTAGTCGACATACGAGTAGCCGCTGCGCAAATCGCTGATGCAAGCCTCGAGTACCTAGGTAGGTAGTTAGAACAAGACGAGTGTTTTGTCATAGGTCTATCGTAGGTAGGCAGTCGGAGCAATGCTTCGTGATCAATACTACATGCCTCCATACACAGCTCCATAGAACCAGTCGGCACAAGGCTCTGTGGAAGCACAGGCATGGGCAAGCACCAGCACCAGCGCAAGCGCAAGCACAGGCGCAGATGTAGGCACAGGCAGGCGTTGATGGTCGGGAGTGGGTGTTGCATGTAGATTCCAGCCTGCATGTATCATCGCATGTCGGTTCAGAGCGTCAGGTTTCCCAAGTCGTACATGGTAGCAGTGTGCACGGCCATTACCAGACAAAAGGGAAAGTCTGGCCCTAATCCAGCTTGCTACCTTACATTCCAGCTGCAACTCTAGGTAGGTAGTCGGTAGGTTGTGCTTTGCCTCAGCTTTGCCTCAGACCTAAACACAGCTGGAGATCTAAACCTGCTACGTACGAGTATTTGCTTCCTAAGGTACTACCTAGGTAGCTGGCCATCCCATGTTGCCCAAGCCACTGAGGACAGGCACAAGTAAGGTATGGAGCTTGTATGGAGCTTGTTACGGAGCACATCTGCCCATGTCAGGATCGGCAGATCATTCAGAGAGCACCCTGAATGGTATTGGGTCGCATTTGTGCTTCGTGCAAGTAAGCCGGCTCAAAGTTGCCTGCCAGACGCCGTAGTCGTACGAGTACATGTATCGGACGCTCCCCGGGCATTTGGCCAATTCTGCGGCACCGAGCACGCAGCAAGTACGCGTTCGAGGTACTATGGCCAAAGACATTTCCAGAATGGTCTACCAGATATTCATCCAAAAGGATGCATACTCGTCCTTGGAAGCAACCTTTGGCTGCATCCCCTGCGTGAGATCTGTGCGGTTGGGGGGGGGGGGGGGGCCGCTAGGTGTACAATTAGTCGTCGTAATAGTGCGAGTAAGCACTCCCGTGTCTGGCGCAAGATTGGGATGGCGGATGTCGACGAATGCAACCCTGCTCTGGTGTGCCGACACCGCGCTTCCACGATGCTAGGTAGAGGTGGGTTAGCTGTGCTCGTACATGTACGAGTTATAGGAGGCGTTCGCAGATGGTGCTTCGAACTCTACTTACAGTACAGTATGTAGAACCTTAGGTACCTTATGCAGCAGGTAGGGGCCTTACCTCTACCTTATTACCTACCCAACTATGTCTCCCCCATCACTCCCCCAATCTCGAGCAGGGTGTCGGACAAATACATGCACACACGGAGCTCGACCGCGACTCAAAGTCGTAGACAATTGCTGGTCCCCGTAGGGTCAGACGGACAGAAACAAAGACAGGGGCCCTAATGGAGAGGGCAGTACGATACCTACCTACCTACTTACCTACCAGGCGGTATCATTCTGGTCGTACAGCAGGTACCGATCGAGTAGCTCGTACTTCGTATATCTGCAG